CGTCTGATACAGGCTATGGTCTTCGCAATCACTTGTTATGCATCAGAGAGTTGGACAATGACCAAGGAGGATAGAAGGAGAATTGATGCCTTTGAGCTGTGGTGCTGGAGAAGAGTATTGAGAGTACCATGGACTGCTAGGAAAACAAACAGATTTGTCCTGGAAAGGGTTAAACCAGGTGGCTCATTGGAGGCAAGGATTCTGAAGCTCCGTCTAACATACTTTGGACATGTTGTGAGGAAAGACCGGTCCTTGGAGAGGGACATCATGCTTGGGAGGGTGGAAGGACGGCGCAGGAGAGGAAGGCCCTCTATGAGGTGGACTGATTTGGTGACTGGGATAATTGGAATGGGAGTGTCAGAGACAGTGCGATTGGCACAGTACAGAGCGGAGTTTAGGGCTGTTGTACATAGGGTCACTATGAGTCACAAGCGACTCGACGGCACATAACAACAACAACAACTAGTATCTCAACAAGAAAAAGGTAATCGCAAAATGGGCACAGAGTATGAATAGACATTTCACCAAAGACGACATTCAGATGGCAAACACACACAAAAAGACATGTTAAAAATCCCTAGCTCTCAGAGAGATGTAAATCAAAACAAATATGAGATATCATCTCACCCCAGCAACAAATAGCAAAGTTCAACAGAGCCACAACAAAAAATGCTGGCAAGGTTGTAGAGAGACTACAACACTTATTCACTGCTAGTGGGTGTGTAAAATGGTTCAACCACTATGGAAGGCAGGTTGGGACTTTCTCAAAAACTTGGAAATAGAAATACCATTTGACCCAGCAATTGTACTGATGAAAATATACCCTAAAGAAAGCAGAACCTTCATTCAAACATATGTATACACACCTATGTTTATTACTGCATTGTTCACAACAGCAAAGAGATGGAAACAACCAAGTTGTGCCCATCAACAAATTAATGGATGTTGTTGCTGTTGTTATGTGCCATCAAGTTGCCTGCAACTCATAGCAGCCCTAAACCCTGCTCTGTCCTGTGCCAATCTGTCTCTGACACACCCACCCCTATTACCCCAGTCACTGAGCCAATCCATCTCTTGCAGGGTCTTCCTCTCCTACGCTGTCCCTTTACCCTCCCGAGCATGACGTCCCTCTCCCAGTACTGGTCCCTCCTTACATGTCCAAAGTATGGCAGACAAAGCTTCAGAATCCTTGCCTCCAAGAAGCAGCCTGGTGTCACCCTCTCCAGGACAAAACTGTTCATTCTCTTAGCAGTCCATGGTATGTCAGTGCTCTTCTCCAACACCACAGCTCAAAGGCATCAATTCTCCCTCTATCCTCCCTAGTCATTATCCAGCTCTCTGATGCACAGCAAGTGACTGCAAAGACCATGGGCTGTATCAGGCATGCCTTAGTCTCCAGAGTGACACCATTGCTCTTCAGTACTTTGGAGAGGTCCCCAACAGCAGACTTTCCCATTGCAGTATGTCTTTTAATTTCCCGACTGTGGAGCCAAGCAAATTAAAGCTGTGAACAATCTCAATCTCTCCACCATCCATACTGATGCTGCCAACTGGCCCAGTGGTAAGAATCTTTGTTTTCTTGATGTTGAGCTTCAATCCATATTGAAGGCTGCAGTCCTTGACTTTCTGCAGCAAGCACTTCAGGTCCTCCTCAGTTTCAGCAAGCAAGGTTGTGTCAACTGCATAACGCAGATTGTTGATAAATCTTCCTCCAATCCTGATGCCACATCATACATACCGTATGTTTTCATCATACAGCCCGGCCTCCTAGATAATCTGTTCTGCACATAGATTGAAAAGGTACGGAGACAGGACACATCCCTGGCATACATCCTTCCCAATTTTGAACCATGCAGTGTTTCCTTGCTGTCTGATGACTGCCTCCTAGTCCAAGTATAGGTTTTGCATTAGCACGATCACATGTTTTGGGATTCCCATTCTTCTCAGAGTTAGCCACAGTTTGTTGTGATCCACACAGTCAAATGCCTTTGCAAAATCAATGAAACACAGATTGACATTCCTCTAGTAGAAAAACTATATTCACACAATGGAATACTATGCAGCACTGAAAAATAATGACTTCATAAAACATTATACAACATGGGTAACCCTGGAGGACATTATGCTCAGTCTCAGTCTCAAAAGGACAAATGCTGCATAACACAACTGTTATGAAGCATGACTGACATGGGGTGTTGGGAGGAGAATAAGAGTGGAGAGATAATGACCACTGTATTGGATGAGGGAGAGAACTGTTTTAAAGTAATATATAATTAGGCATTATATTTAAGACAACAATCCAGAATAAGAGGTACATTGCAAAGAAAACTGGGGGAGTGGGAGAGGAAAGAAATTGTGCAACAATGAATTTTTTTAAAAAAGTTAGCTGGAGGGAAAGGGGACAGATAAGGAGGAAAATGTGGAACAATGAACGAATGAAAATCCAATTTTTCAGTAAACTTTTGTTAAAATCACAATTAAAAAAATTTAAAAAACAAAAACAGATTTAAAAATTAAAACAAAAAAAAGTGCAGGTAGAGTGAACCAAACCACCTCCTCCCAGCCCCTATCAAAAAGTCAATTCCAACTCAGGTGTCATCAAGTGTAAACTTGGGTTTTTCTATATTGTAATCTTAATGAAAGCAGACCATCACGTTGGACATGCTTGATCAACTGTTAAGTTACTCAACTCAACAAAGTCAATTCATTGTGGTCAAGTCAGAACCAACTTGTAGCTCACTGTCCAGAGAGTCTTTAGAGGCTGTAAATCACATAGGAGACTAACTTCCTCTTCAGAGCAGCTGGCAGACCCAATCACTTGCCTCTGAGCTGGCAACAAACTCACACTAGGCACCAGAGCTCCCTGTTTGGTTAAGAGTTGAACAAATATGGTACTATAGATACATGTATAGATATATAAATAGGAGCAATTAAAAAGGGGGGAGGAATTACCCTGATGAAGTCTTCTGGCCTCTCGCCACAGGCATCTGGTAGCCCCTTCTAGCATCTTTCAAAGCACCATTCCAGGAGGGGCATTGTATGCCCATCAAACCAGACACAACCAGAGATGAGCAGGTAAAATGAAGAAAGGAGGGGCAGAGATACAAGAGTTGAAAGTCCGAAGTGGACACACAAGAGCTACCAATGAAATGATCTACTGTGGTCCACAGAGTTCAGTCTCTGCACGTCGGTTTCCTTCAGCTATGAAGAGCATATGTTGTGGATGCTGTTGTGTACAGTAGAGTCAGAACTGAGTCACAGCTGACTCTCCAGGAGGCTTTCACAGGCAATAAAAAGCATATGGAGAGCTCTGGTGGCCTAGTGGCCAGAAGCTGTACTGCAATCCCAAAGGAACAAGGTTTGAGGCCACAAGTTGTTCCGCAGAAGGATGAGCAGTCTCCTCCTGTGCCCTTAATTGCTTCTGAAAACGGACCAGAGGGTCAGCTATGGGTTGGTTCCCAACTCTGGTGCACAACAAACTGGGAGGAATAACTTTAAAAAAGGTATTTGCTTACTAAGTGAGGCTATTATAACAGTCAAACGTGCCTGGCCAGCCTTCTGACTGTGTTAAGGGCAATTTCTCAGCCTTCATGGTTTACTTTTAAAACAAGGATTTTCTTTCATTTATCCTCACTTCTGCAGTCATTTCAAGACTCACAGCTGACCATCCATGGGGGTTCAGAGACTGTACATCACAATGGGGGTAGTTTAACCCAGAAGCACTGATAATTCCAACCACAACAGTCAGTACTTGGGTTAGCAGTGCTCCTTGCTAATGACTCCATCACCAGAGCTCCCTAAACCAAGGATGTTGTTGTTGGGTGTCATCCAAGTCAGAACCGACCCATAGCTGACCCTCCAGTGGGTTTTCAGAGGCAGATAATCACACAGGAGGAGACTGTCCATCCTTCTTCCATGGAGCAGCTGGTGGACTGGAACTCCATGCCTTTGGGACTGCAGCACAGCTTCTTACCACTAGGCCACCAGGGCTCCCTAAAACAAGGGTAAGATCTAGAAAAGGCGATACTCACTGATCCCTGACTGCGCGTGTTTTAAATAAAACATGAGATCATAATGCAAAACTCCTGGTGCCCTATACTTTCTGGACATTCTCATAATCTCTAGCTAGAGTTTTCTTTCTGGCAAAGAAAAAATTATAAAGAGTTAGCGGGGTGGTAATGATAATTAAGTATATTAAAGAAAAATTAAGAAATGATAAATGGAGCATTGCCTGCCAAGCAGTAATGCCCCCAAAAGCCACTTCTCCCTACTCCTGAACACCCAGCAGACCCCTCCATACACGTACAAACGCACACTCACAAATGCCAGACACTGTCAAATCCGTCATCCTCAAGTCCAAGGGCACGGGAGTCCAAATGGCACCACCAGGGGAGCCAGTCCTCCAGCCTTCCCTCCCCAGGCGGCTGAGCCGCGTCAGGGAGGGACCTGAGCCAGCAGCCGCTACTAGGATTTTCCCAGGGTGCAATGCAACTTCCCCAACTTTTCCCGGCCCTGGAGACCTAGCAGGCATTGTGCATAATCAACCACAGGTCTGGGTACAGGAAGGGAGTGCGACAGCAAGAAAGTGAAAAGGAACGTGTGGTCCCGAAACGGGGCGGCAGGGCTCAAAAGTTAGGGTTCCCCCTTGTAGACTTGATTAACTGCTAGCTTGGGCTCCCAGGGACTAGGGGGTGATGAAGAGATTTTTGAAAGGGACTGACAGCCATCCCTCTAAGGTCCCCAGAGGCTGGACCTGGCGGCCTGCGCCAGAGCTGGTTGTGACATTTAGGAGGACCGAGGAGTTCTGTGCGGGCACTGTGCACAGCGTATGGCACGAGGGGACTCCAGCTGGACAGCACAGATCGCCCCCTCCCGCAGACAGCACAAAGCGGGGGTTCCACCGCGGCCAGCGCTAGGTAGACGAGCGGCTCTCGACGGCTCCCACCAGGAAAGCCGGGGCGACACGTCGAGGAGAGCCGGTGCACGAGGCGGACACTCACCGGCGCCCTCAGCGGACTGCGGCGGCCCCACGACGCCGTTCAGGTAGAGAAGCGGCAGCAGGTGAGGCTGCGTCTTCTCCAGCGCCGCCCGCAGGTCCTGGAAGTGGTCCCGCTCCTTGGCCAGCAGCAGCTGGAGCAGCAGCTCCGCCTTGGCGCCTCCCGCCTCCTCGTCCAGCCGTCGCCGCTCGCCGGGGCTGAGCGCGCCCGCGGCCTCCAGCAACCCGAGCACGGCCTCCACCTCCGTCATGGACTGGGCCAGGCTCTGCTGACACCGGGCGAGCAGCTCCCGGCGCCGGGGCTCCATGGTGGCGGCCGCCCCGC